CAGTGGAGGAGGAAAGTCTCCAAAGTCAACAAATAGGAAACTTCACAGCCACTGTTACTCGCTTTCTCGGCCTCATGATAAGTTGTTTGAGAAAAAATATAAACAAACTTCCTCTCAGGCTCAGCGCCGGAGAGTAGTTCATTCGCTTCGGACCCTAAGTGTCCGGTTCGGCAAAACCTCCCCTCAGGTTCAGCGCCGGGGAGTAATTCATTTAACCTCCCCTCAGGCTCAGCGCCGGTGAGTAGTTCATTCGCCTCGGACCTTGAGTGTCCGGCTCGGCAAAACCTCATCTCTGGCTCAGCGCCGGGGAATAATTCATTTAAACCTCCCCTCAGGCTCAGCGCCGGGGAGTAGGTCATTCGCCTCGGACCCTAAGTATTCGGCTGGGCAAAAATCTCGCTCCGGACCCTAAGTATCCGGCTCGGCAAAACCTCCCCTCCGGCTCCGCGCCAGGGAGTGTTTAATTCGCCTCGGATCCTAAGTGTCCGAGACAGCTTCGGACCCTAAGTATCCTATTCAGCACTATTCCTCCACGACTCAGTGCCGAGGGACAATCTGCCTCGAATCCTAAGTGTCCGAGACAGCTTCGGACCCTAAGTGTCCTATTCAACAATATTCCTCCACACTCAGTGCCGAGGAATAATTCGCTTCAGACCTCTGGTGCCCGTATCAGAACTCTTTCCTCCAGACTCCAAGTGTTTAATACCCTGTGGATGTGGATATATCATAAGTTCATCATGATCCACCCCACGTCAGGAACACACGAGAAAGAAAGAGTATGTATACGTCTACTGCAGGCAAGTAAAAGGCAAGGAGAGTTCACTTAACAGTTAAATCATTGTCCATATGAATCATCCTGAGATATCAACTAAACTATTAAAAGGATCTCCTTCTTCCCACCATCCTTGCTTTTTCTCGGATAGCATAAATCCGAAGCATAAAGACAATGTGTTTTGTTTAAACACATTACCAGTCAGAAAAATATGAACAGTATCAAAAGCATACAGCAAAAACAAATCAGGTATTGAAAGCCTAAAACAAAAAATTATATTCATTATCCCAAACATGCTGTCCATAAAAACAAAATACATGGTTCTACTTCCTCTTCGGATCGAAGGGAGTAGATTCAAAAGCATCCACTACAGTAGGAATTGGGGTAGGAGGAATTGAAGCCGCAGGGGCAGAAGAGCTAGGGGTACCTTTCAGGTGCGCCTTCACCATCTCGGCAAAGCGGATTTCAGCTTCCAAAGCCTCTGGCCCTTCATCATATGGGAAGTGCACCCCCACCTGCTTGTCAAAAGCGTCCGGATCCATCGTCCTAGGGCCTGAGCCCTGATTATAGCCAGACCGGAACGCTTTAGCACTAGCCAGGTGTGCTAGACAGGAGTAGCGCCCCTGCATTTGCTTCCCCGCCTTGAAGCAAGTAGTAAGAGCCTCGGTCAGGCGTTGAACTTCGGCCTGAAGAGAATCCACCTTAGCCTCAGAGGCTGCCAACTGCCTCTTATACGCATCCTTGGCTTCAGAAGCTATCTTCAGATTGGTAGAGGTAGTGGTGGCTCTCTTCTCTGCATTGTCAAGATCCTTTTTTCAGCTTCTTGATGGAGAGGGATTGGGCTTCAGCAGTGGCGCAGAGGGCCATGGTGTGGTATAGACTCTGTATAACAGAGGAACAAATATGAGCATAAATGGAAACATAAGCAAGCAAGGGTAACATAATTCTGAAGGAGCAATGCGAACCTCTATGGCCCGGACAGGGGCAGAGGGGAGTAGTTGTTCTAACCCCATTTGGCTGATGGCTTCCTCGTCCTTTGGGAGCCACATCCCTCGAGCCACCGCCAGTGCAGCTGAAGGGTCTGTAATCACAGAATCCCCTGAGTGCAAGACTGACTTGTCAGCCCTGGTGAAGGAAGGAGTCCAAGGAGCCCCAGTCTCAGCCAGAACAAAGGCCCTGACTTCATCTTCAGGTTCGGCCTCTCCAGCCTTTTTCCCTCTGCTTTTAGAAGGGACCTTGCCCTTGCCAGAGGATGGGGGGTTAAGGCGAGATTTCTTCATTGGTGGTTCCTCAGCCTCCACCTCATCCTCAGTAGATCTAATAACGACCAAGGGTTGGGCATCTTCGGCTTTCTTTTTTAAAGCCTCAGCCCTCCGTATCTCCTCCTCAGTCATGGGGAAACTGTCAAAGGATGGTAGAGACAGATCCATGAGGTCTGCAGCAACAGCACTGGAGGCAATATCCTTGAGGTTTGAAGAAGTTAGCATGTCCTCGATAGGCGAGGGGTCACTCCAGACTCGTTCCTCAAGAAAAGAAAGTCTGTTCCTTGATGCGGAGGATGGGAATGTAGCTAAAAAAACACCAAGAAACTCATAAGTACGGCGAAACATTAAGACTTGGCAAGGAAAACAGCCAGAACACTTGGTATGAAGGGAGGTTAAGTATTCTATACCTAATTTCCCGAACTTGCGCGGGATGGGGAGCGTAATTGATTGGGGCACGAACCATTTTCCTTTAACTATAACCATCCTTTCTTTCCACTTCTTTTCGGATGAAGGAAGGTTCGTGCATATCCTCTGATGAAGGGGAGAGGTAAAAAAGAAGCGACTAGGCTCGGTCCCATGCTTAGATATATTGTAAGTAAGCAGAAGGTCGGCAAGGGTCAAATCCAGAGCCTCTAATTTTCGGCTCACCAACAGTGCCGAAAGGATGCGAAAGAAATTAGGATTTACCTGAAGGGGGGCAAGACCTAACTTGTTGAAAACTAAATGATAGAAGGGATGAAGAGGGAATCGGATGGCGTTACGATGCCCTACCGAAAGAAGCAATTCACTCTCTTCAATTCCCTCGCTGGAGGTAAAATCGGCACCCTCGGGATATTCTGCAATTTCTACTCCCTCAAGAATATCAAATTCTTCCATTACTGAAGCAATAGAGAACTTGATGCGGCGAATAGAGATGATTGCTTTCCTCTCTTCATGAGTAAGAACATAATCAAAGCCTGAGGTGAATGTCTCGGCTGGAAGGGGGGAAGTACCTAATTGATTCAACGAAAGACGATCTGTAGAAACCCTAGGAGGGGGAGCCCTAATGCGAACGGGGGAAGATGAAGGTGTGGATTCAGAATCCCCAATGTTTATACGTTCGGGAGTAGATGAAGTACTCATAATGAAAGATTGAAGAGAAAAATGCGAAAAAAAAACTAACCTGACAAAGCGATGGAATGAAGAACGCAGAAGTGCAGCAAGGGCGAATGTAACTCTTGCAAAATCTTGTATGATGGAGTAATAATGAAAGACCTCGAACCGTTTCTGAAGCAAAGTAAAAAACCGGTTTCAATTCCCTCTTTAATAGGAGCCGTCACTCAATTAAAAATGAAATTTGGGGCAAAGTGTGGAAGGAAAAAAACTCCCTCCAATAAAAAGCGCACACGTCATCACTACACATATCTACATTCCAAGGACATATAAGGCCCATCATGCTCAAGCCCAAATTGAGGGTACTTATAGCCCAAGACCATTGTTATTTGTCCTCCAACCTCCATCAAGGCCGAATCAAGAGGACATCAGCCCAACTTGTTAATATTTAACATCCGGTCCGTTACTCAAGCCCAGCCGGATCAAAATATGTTCAGCCCAGTTATTCAAGAATGCACAAGTCCTACCAGTTGAAGGATTTACCGTAGAAGGAAAATTCTGAGATAGAAAGTTCTGTACAAGGCAAGTTCTATGTATGGAAAATTAGACAATGGAAAGAACTCTATTAGTAAATAATGTTTATATAGAAAGAATTGGAGGGCAAGTAACGCGAGTCCTACCATAATTTTACAATCTTTTGTATATAAATAGAGGCTTAGACCTCCAATAAAAGGATCAAGCAATTCTACGCTTCGAGATATATTGTTCTTGTTTATTTTACTATTGATTGAGTGAGTTGTTTTATTTTTCTCAATCATTATTGGTTGAGCGAAATTTTGCACCTACAAATGTCATTTAGATAATATGGTAAATACTTGTACGATAAAAAGAAATTATTTAAGAATGAATTTATACTTGGAAAAAAATCAGCTCAAGAATGTGATGCAAATCCCTTACCATGATAAGATTTTTGTTCAAAAAGCAATGATATCTCATCTTTTACTTCTATGGAGGAGATAAAATCCAAGGATTTGTCTTCGACGTTTAGAACATAATGGCTCTTGTATAATAAAAAAGATGCAAACTTTTATACATGGATGTCATTTGCCTAAATAGATCAAGAGAATTCATCCAAATTTGCTACAGCTATTACGGACTTTTTTCCAAGTAAAAATTCATACTTAAATAATTTCCTTTTATCTTACAAGTATTTACCATATTATGTAAAATAGACTATTTTGTTATTCAGAACTCCTAACTCTATATACATATAGTTTTCCCTTTAAATTATCTATTTTAATATTATATAATTATATAATTTTAAAAATAATATTTTGGTATTTTGGAATAAGAGCGTAGAGGGCATTTTGGACCTTAACAACATTTCTTGATGCATTTGTAATTATTTTTCTTAATTCAATCAAAGTGAAAATCAACTTTTAAAATTGATCAATCTGTTATTTAAGACTCCTAATTCTATTTATGTATAATTTTCCCAAAAATTAATAGTGAAACAATACGAGTATATACTATTTACATTTACCCCACACAAAGTCCATAATGATACATTTCTTTCATTGTAGGAAAGACTTGTACATAAAGAATACAATATATTTTTTCTATACAAGTATTTTTGAAAGAAGGAAAGATTTGTTGTTCAAGTGTAATAACATTAATAAGTTCATACATAAGTCACACACTTCTTCTAAGTCTACTCTCACAATTTCACTCTACATTTTGTGACTTTCACATTTTTACTTTTTATAACCTAGATTTTGTCAATTTAAATAAATCAAGGAAAGAAAAAAAAAAAAAAAAAAATCAAGGAGCAACTACAATTTTACGAGGTAATTTAGGGGGAGAGAGATTTGTTCCTTGTTTCATGTTTAATGGTGTCCAATTGTTGATTCGTTGGGGAGAGAAAGAGAGACATGTGTGGTTACTTCTAATTTTAATGTTGAAATCATAGAGTAGATCGCCAGATTTAACACGATTACACATCGATTGTCACGAGACGTGTCTGTCTTCTCCGCCCAAATGAACCTCCACCTTCCCATATATTATCATCTCCTCCTCTTCCCTCTCTCCTAATTTTCATCCCTTCCACCTTTCCATACCCCATTACTTTCTCTCTCTACCCCCCTCTCTCTCTCTATATATTCATGGCTCCATCCCAGCAGCTGCCACTAGAAGAAGAAACTGCATCGGACAACAATACCCACAATGAGGTGCCCATTAAATCAAGAGTCACCGTTGTTGGCAGTGGCAATTGGGGCAGTGTCGCTGCCAAGCTCATTGCCTCTAACACCCTCAAGTTCAACTCTTTCTACGGTAACACATACATACATATATATATGCATTTATGTATACAGTTGGCATGCAAAGAACCCAGAAATTTTATAGCATCAACATGCATATTTTGTGTTCCAATTGATGAAATATACGATTGAATGAAAACCCATGTTGAATTTGGATGTGTAATGATGAAATTCAGATGAAGTTAGGATGTGGGTATATGAGGAGGTATTGCCAAGTGGTGAGAAACTCACAGAGGTCATCAACAACACCAATGTAATGTCCATTGCACTTCCTTTTGCTATATATATATGTGTGCGAGACTGTGTGTGTTAAAATGTTTGTAATAAATTGCTGTAATCTTTATGTAGTTCTGTTCTTTATAACAGGAAAATGTTAAATACCTTCCTGGTATTAAGCTTGGCAAAAATGTTGTTGCTGACCCAGACCTTGAGCATGCAGGTACTAAATCTGATAATATGAAAATTTGTGTTGACTGATTAACTAATTAATTAATTCACGAGTCATGATACAGAGTTCAACAATCACACAACTCCGACGGTTTCATGTGACATTAGCCCCCACTCACATTAAAAACTTGAACTAGTCTAATTCATTGATGAGTCATGATACGGACAATAGGACAATTCTGACTGTTTTCATGTGATTTCATGTGGGTGGAGTCCGACAATAGGACAATTCAGACTGTTTTCATGTGATTTCATGTGGGTGGAGTCCGACAATAGGACAATTCTGACTGTTTTCATGTGATTTCATGTGAGTGGGGTATGACGTCAACACCCCCACTATTTATATTATCGTTAGTTCGAGTGTCGAACTCCATATCATTTTCCTTAATTGATAGTAAACTAATTAAGCCATTACTTAACTAAGCTTATGGTATATATTGTTTATGTTAAAACTTTCTGAAACATTTAGTTGGGGAACTATATATGCAGTGAGTGAAGCAAATATGTTAGTTTTTGTTACCCCACATCAATTCATGGAGGGTATATGCAAAAGGCTAGTCGGAAAATTAAGGGAAGATGCAGAAGCAATTTCCCTGATTAAAGGGATGGAGGTGAAGAAAGAAGGTCCATGCATGATCTCTACCCTAATCTCGGAACAGCTAGGGATTAATTGTTGTGTTCTAATGGGAGCTAACATTGCTAATGAGGTGATTGAATCAAATTTCAGTTTGATTTTATATCTCCTTTTAGCCCATTTAGGCATTCGTTATGCTAAAGATTAGAGACTACTATGCAGATTGCAGTCGAGAAATTTAGCGAAGCAACAGTTGGATACAGAGAGAACAGAGAGATTGCAGAGAAATGGGTTCGGCTATTCAGTACTCCTTATTTCATGGTCTCAGCTGTGAGTGCAATAAATTTATGCTATTCAATTTTATAGACATTCAATTTATAATGCTTAAACCTATCCAAAATCATCTACATGGAACTATATGTCAACTCAATTACTTAAAATAAAAGTAAAAACGGATAATTTAGAAGAACTGTGATAGAACATGGAACTGTAATTGGAAAGAATGGAAAAAGATTCATGTGGCTGACCCCATTCATGTGTGATATAGGCAAGGATGATGATCATGTGATAGAACACATGCATTGCTATTACCGAATAGTACCTAGCAATTATTTAACATGCATTATTTGATGGATTTGTTTTTATCGAAAAAACAGGTTCAGGACGTGGAAGGGGTCGAACTATGCGGGACTTTGAAAAATGTTGTGGCCATAGGAGCAGGTTTTGTGGATGGCTTGGAGATGGGAAATAACACAAAGGTAAAGCAATAGCTTTAACAAGCTTTAAACTCATTGCTCCAAAAGGCACACAAATAGGAAAAGTAGCATTTTGACTATTTCTGTGATGATGATTTATTAGGCTGCAATAATGAGAATTGGTCTCAGAGAAATGAAGGCCTTCTCCAAGCTGATGTTCTCATCTGTTAGAGACAGCACCTTCTTCGAGAGCTGTGGCGTAGCCGATCTCATAACGACTTGCTGTAAGGAATCCGAATAGTTTCTTTCCTATCCTATTTACGTGTGTGTGTGTGTGTATTGCCTTCATGCATCGTACATTTATTGTTTTGATCTGGCAGTAGGAGGAAGAAACAGGAAATGTGCAGAGGCTTTTGCTAGGAATGGCGGGAAAAGGTTTTACTCCTTTAGCAATTTGTTTCATGTACAAATTTTTTTTTTTTAGTAAAAGATTAAATTTTAGATCAATTTTTACCTTGCTTGTTCCCATCGGCAGGTCTTTCGATGAGCTTGAAGCGGAGATGCTGCAGGGCCAGAAATTACAGGTAAGATACCAGACCTAATTTATAAGAAAAATCAGTATATTGGCATTAATGTGTTGCACTTGAATTAGTTATTATCTAAGTAAATTCACACAAAAGGGTTTTTGGGATTGTTGAAGACTTGTACCTATAAACTTGAATTCCTATGAAAATAGTGTTTATTTACAATCTGTTGAAAAAAATAATAGAAATGTTGAACACCATGTCCAATTCCATATTCATAGATGAAGTGATACACCAGAGGCAAGTATATTATATATATTCAATAACTTCTATTTACAAATCCTTAAAGATCAAAGTATATAGAAGTAAACAAGTTTTTAATGTTTCCTAAAAAAGTTGCCGGATGGAAATAGTTTTGCTGACTATTCCATATTATCCTAACATTGTTTAAATTTTTGAAGGGTGTTTCGACAGCAAGAGAGGTTTATGAGGTTTTAAGCCACCGGGGATGGTTAGAGTTGTTCCCTCTTTTCACAACGGTGCATGAGATCTGCATTGGTCGTCTTCAACCGTCAGCCATAGTTGAATATAGCGAGCACACGCCCAAGTTCTCCTTGGTTGAAGGCTCTGCTCAGTTTTACTGATCCTCTACAGAAAAGGACTACTTTGATCTATTATACTTCAATCTTGAATTTCTTATAATTAGCCTCTCTTCATCAGTGTAACGAGTGTTGAATGCAAGGCTAGGACAAACTTTGCGTGTTAAATTATATAGCATTTGACATAGGTATCAAATGCCGCATGTAGGAAGCTTCAGAAGTCTTCCCCGTGTTTAATGCATATGAAATCAAGGTTTTAGAGTACCACGATATTTATTTTTCCATTTCCATATGTATGATTTTTCTCCCAAATTTATTATTATTATCATTATTGATTTTCATATTCCATCTTGCATTGGGTGAGTGCGGCAACAGCACGATGTTGTATTGTAGGAAATTGTATTGTAGGAGACGACTATGATCACTTACACGTGTGAATGATCACAGCTGTTCTCAGTAGTACATTACCGTGTAGTGTAAGGCGTTGTACTGTAGGAGACGACTATGATCGCTCACACGTATGAGTGATCATAGCTGTCTTCAGCAGTACAACACCATGTAATGTAAGGTGATGTATTATAGGAGACGACTATGATTGCTCATATGTGTGAGTAACCACAGTTGTCCTGAGTTGTACAACACCGTGTAGTGTAAAGTGATGTACTACAGGAGACGACTATAATTGTTCACACGTGTAAATGACCACAATTGTATTGAGTTATACAACACCGTGTAATGTGCAATAGAGAATCCTTGCTTATGCACAAGAGCTGGACTCTATGCAGTCAGGCTGTCGTTACATAAAGAATTATTCTTTTGGGACTTAACAAGAAGAAGCTGACCAAAAAGAAAATTTTCCACATAGAAGTTGGCTCGAATGGGAAAGAACAGGAGTAAAAACCAGGTATCTGACATGATGCAAACCACAGCCTAAAAAATTCGAAGGGCAACCCCAGAACTTCTCATTTCATTCCAATATATATATATATATATATATATATATATATATTTGAAAAGTTAAGCAAGCACGTACACCCACAAACTGGACTAATACCCATTTAGTCATTTCATTCCATGGTTAATTTTGATTTTCCACCAGCCAATTTTGCATTGGCCCAATTCATGTTAATATATTCTATGTTTGTATGACCTAATTTACCTGAATTTCCGGTTTATCATACTTCTATACCTAGGATTCAAGTTAAATTTAATTAAAAAAGGAGGTAAAACGAAAATTATAGTATGAGCTAAATAATTTTCTGTTTAGACACAGTGTTACATGAACTTTGACTAGTTTTATACCAATAACGTTACAGAAGACACATGATAAAAGAGATATTTTTTTGTACAATTATGTAACATGTTAAATTATGGATACATATCCAACATGTCATGTACAATCTCCATACCATATCAAATTGTCATGTTCTTTACTTCTCCCCCTATTACTATGAAAACAGACTAGTTATATTTGACCTAGTCCAACAACTAGTGGAGTTGTCGGACAAGGACCCTTTCCTGTTGTACACCATGGGTATTGACCATTGTACAGCATTTGATGGCTGTGATTGGAACGCACATAAATAGTTGCAAACAATGTGTGTGTATGTTTGTTTCAATCGTAACCGTTGACAGCTCGGGTTGTCCCCTGTATCAAGAATAGGGTGTAATGGGCTCGGAAGGACACTAACCAGCCTTCATCAAGAGCAATGGATGAAATCTGAATGATACTCAAATTAACTACGAACCATGGTGTTTACTCACGCACAGATAAAGTACAGTCATGGTCTGAATGAACAACTCAACCTTTTTATATGTGTCACGAACAGAAAATTGGACCTTCATGATCCCATGCTATATTGGGATTCATGGAATTAGAGTTGGAATTGAAATTGACTCAAAAATTTTAATTAAAATTTTCTCCAATTCCATGCAGCCGCCGAACACAACCATAGAGATTTTGGACCATTGAATAATAAATAAAAAAAAAACCTGCTGGGTTTTACAGTTGATGCAATCCTCACAACTCCTAAAAGTCAGAACAGAAGCTGGGGGAGGGAGGAGTCAGAGGTCGAGTGAAAATGAGAAAATGAAATTTCGTTGCAGTTCCAACAAGTTGGAAACATCTAAATCCACTGATCAAACTTTCCAGTCCCAGCACAACTTTTTACAAGGCAAACTACAGCCAAAATCCCATGTAAGGATAACAAAATAGAAAACGATAGAAACCCTGATTGATTTTTGTCACCGATTGATGTGATAATCATATATATAAACAACCTAAGACAAAGCGATCTACCTCTGTCTTGGTGACTTTGGGTCGTGACTTCCAAGCCATAGATCAAGGTTTCGAAACTGGTTTGGAGAAGAAAGAAAGAAAGAAAGAAGGAAAAAAAAAAAAACCTAGGAAGAGCGAGATATCTACTACTGACTAGTCCTGGTTTTTTAGCATTACTCCAACAAAGTATACCAACATAAAGCAAACACTAGAGCTTGTAAAATATTTTCACAAGGAAGTGCAGAAACATATTTTAAAGGCAAGAAAGAGACTTACAGCTACAAGATTTTGGGTATTTCTACTTATCAAAAAAAAGATTTTGGGTATTTCCATACAGTTGAATTAGCAGCTGCTTTTTTATGCAAACACAAGTTAGACCTTGGGAGCAAAACATCCACAAAAGTTTAGTGGTCCTCAAGGCACAATTGTTCACCATACAATGCTTTTAAAAAACAATTCATAAAATAAGATGATAGGGAATTGGCTTAGGCTAAATTTATCCCACACTGAAGATGTCCACACAGTGTAAAGGAGAAGTAATAAACGAGACAATAAAATAGAAGGCAACCATTGTGTCACTGTGTAACCAACAAATAACAGTAATTATTAGAAATATACAAGTAATAATAAGAAACAAAGGAAGAAACAAGTTAACCATCGCATATTCGTTCAAAAGCAGAAAACAATAATCCAATTTACATGTCATTCTTTGATTACCAAAAGAGCAAGAATTACTTTATTTTGGATAAAAAGTTTCATGATCAATATTTCTACTATAATCCTATACATCTGTATGGGCGAACCCTTCTGGGATAATTTCATTTCCAGAAACTTCATAAAATTTCACACGCATAATTCTAAAGCTTCAACATACACCCGAATCCGTAAACTTCCAGAAACTAATTCTACACCTGATATATATGTCTGGAACCCAAACCATTCATGCCACACCATCACCTAGTATTCTTTTGTTTCCACCAAATCAAGAATTTGCCAAACATGTATCTCTTATTTTTAAAAAGAAACATTTGCTAAACCTGCATAATAGAAAATCTGGGATGCAAAACTAAATAAGACCGAACAACAAAGCCTAATAATGACCATTAAAAAGATGGAGGTAACAATCCACTCACTGGGTAAAAGAATCATAACTAGATATAACACCACCACCTCTACCTTCACATATGTAGATAAACAAGAACAATGTTTCTGTTTTAACTCCATAAGTATATAATAAAGCAAATGCATAAATATCTACCATTTTTTTCACAAGGATAGACTACATCCCACAAAATAAACTAAGATGATGAGACAGCTAGTGAAGCCAGCCAAAACAGCCTTACAGACCACTATTAATGATTCCAAAAGAATAAACAAGCATAGCTGAGGCAATAGGCGTTCCCAAAGCATTGAAACCCCGTATTGACTAAAGCATGAGGTGCTTACCCGAGTGAAGCAAGGTGCTAATTTTAAAACAATTCAGAAATATATGAGAAGTTAAATTCTATTTATATTATATTTATAACATACAAGTTACAATTACCATCGATGTAATCATCATTTAACACTAGTAAGTCTCACTCAACTCGATGATCAAGTTTCATATAAAGATCACATTTCATAACCTGTATCATTGAGACCATCAGTTAAATGATTAAAATTTCCTAAAAATTTTATCTACTAACGTGTACCATCCTAGGGCATCGATTTTGTGCAGTTAAATAAAATAAAGAATGATCCCACGTCAAATCAGTTTCACATACAAATTTCTAAAATGTCAAATACATAAAATAAAATAATAATAAAAAAGAGCATCCAAGGGCAGCTTTAACATCATCATAATCACAATTCGAACTCACTTCACTCCCACCAACACTAAATTCATAGCCTTTTAAAATGCTCTTCGGTTTTCAATGGATCCAATGGGGCCACGAATGAAGCCAAATGGAGCCAAAGATATTACCACAAACACAAAACAGAACTACAAGCAACATGAACAGACAATATTGTTTTTATCTGGCTTCTTAGGTTGTTTCTTTCATTTAAATTGGTAAGAATAGTTTGGACAGTTCAAGCTAGACAATTTTCTAAAAAACCTTAACTTCATTGGGACAGTCACATTCACCTCATCAATTGGTAAAGGCACCAGTCTAAGCATTAAGCAATGTCCAACTAAATCTACTTTACCTCAGTTGTCTTAAAGGCTAAAGCCATGTAATCTTAAGGTGCCGTAGTTGACCGACCTTCCCTGTCAGCTTTGGTCACCATCATGGTTTTTTTTTTTGGTCAGGCAAGTACTCACACACACTTCTGCCCACGCCCGGGCTCGAACCCCTCCCCTCCTCTTTGAGGATAGAGAGTTTATAACATTGGGCTAGAGCCTAGAGGCCCTTTGGTACCATTATGGTTGATTTTACCACTATGGAATATAAACCATACACAATACAAACCAATATAAGAATGGTCATTACAAACTCAAACAATATAATAGAGTCCCCGAGTAATGCCTTGTAAGTTGCAACTTTTAAGCAGGTTTTCCATGCATAAATACTCTTGAAGAATGGAGATTAGCATCTCTAATCTCCCATGAGTGGACAACCAATCTAGCTTTAACTAAACATGGTTTCAAATAGCAATAAGCTGCAATACAGATGCTTGGTCTCTGCTTGCATACAACTAGCTCCTGCCTTAAGTCGCATGAACCTTAGAATGCCTACATTGTACTCGTACATTTGGGATGAATCATACATGTAGACAAGCTGTCCAACACAAAATCATGCCAAAATATATTCCAAAACACATAGAATCTAAAAACCCAAGGTGAGCCTAGTTAACTGCATAAAGATCAAATTCTCAAACTACACCGAAAACAGTCCAAAGAATGAATAGTAGCTGTACTAATCCAACATTTCTACATAGCCAAGCAATACGAACATAGTATAAATACCGATAAGATATGCAAAGCAGATGCTTGGTCTCGGCTTGCACACCTCTAGCTCCGGCCTAAAGTCGCATGAACCCTATAATGTCTACACTGTTCTCAAACATTTGGGATAAATCTTACATGCAGATAAGAATTCTAACACAAAACCATGCAAAAATATATACCAAAACACATAGAATCTCAAAAACCAAGGTAAGCCCAAATAACTGCATAAAGATCAAATTCTCAAACTAGGCCGATAACAGTCCAAAAAATGAATAATGTCTATGCTAATCCAATATTACTAAATAGATAAAAATTGAACAACAGATACCCTAATAATTCCAAAAAGATCCACCACCTATTGATAATGAGTAAATTCTTCTTCCAAATCAGAGCAACACAGACAAATTTTAACTTTAGTTAGATCTAAGATGGAACAATAAACAAGTTCAAAAGCATCCACAAAACCTTCAAATTTCACCAAATGAAGCTAACTAGCTCTCCTCAGGCGCTTTCTCAGCTTCCTTAACTTGTGCTTGTTCATTTTCTTCTTCCTCTTCTTCTTCACGCTATCTGCCCAAATCGTCGGTGAATTGCCGTTAACAAAATCAAAGGCCTCAGATTGAGCCAACCCAGTTGAAAACCCAGGGTTTAGAAAAAACCCAAATGAAAAACTTGGGTAAAACTGCAATTGTTGAGAAGGGTTTGAAATTGAATCCTCCGTTCGGGGTGAATCCGAGAAGGGAATGAAATCGACTGGATGGGGAAGGTGTGGATTGATTTTAGTGAGATTGGGTTGGTGGTGAAGATGAGTCAAGAGTGGTATTTCGAGATTCGGGGATTGTGATTTGTTGAAAGCGGTGATGATTCTTGAAGCAGACTGATGTCTGAGAAGTTTGTGGAGAAGAGAAGCCATTGAGAGATCGATTGAGTGAAGAAATGATCTCCAATTCTGGAGTATGAAGACGACGACACTCTCCACCTGACAAAAATTTATCCACTTCCTTAAATTGGAGAGAGCAAAATGAAACGATTTTTGGTAAACCCTAAAAAATTGGAGGAGCAAAAAGACATAATTTTGCCCCCATGCAGGATCGAACTACAGACCTTCAGTTTACAAGACTGACGCTCTACCACTGAGCTATAGGGGCTCATGTGATTCAATTGGGATATGAACAAAAAAAACGACAGAAAATTGTGCACCTTTAAGATCATTGTTGCAAAATTAATATTTCTGACACGGAAATAAAAAGTGACAGCAATGCTATTCAGAAAATTGTGCACCTTTGACATTATAAATTTTTTAATAAGGCAGTGCAATTTCTGAGTTATTTTAGGAGAAGAGAAAGGGCTAAAGCTAGCACGTGGATTAATTGAAACTATGACTATAAATAGAGCGAAATGAAAATAGTGAATTCTAAGTAATTGGGAAAAAAGAATAGTGATACTCAGGCCGATGAGTTTAGTAGAATTTGTTAATCGATTGTTTTTTATTGATCATTTACTCGAGAGATAAGCAAGTGGAGTGTCCCATTTTCTGATTTATTGCATACATTGACCACTTAAAAGTATTCGGCCAAAGAATTGTGCCAAACTTTTTGGCTTTAAAATCATTTTCCTTGGAAAAAAAACTTGGGTGTTACTGTTGTTGTTGTTGTTGTTGTGCAATATTAAAAGTGTGTCACATTTTTGTGCACTCCTGTGATAGAATATGAAATGAAAGGTATAAAAAATTTGAAACTTCGTTTTTTTTTTTTTTTTCTTTTCTATATAAGTTCATTAGTTTTATTAAGAGAGCAGAAGCCTGGAAAAAATTATGCTTTAGCCATTAGTTTGAGAGGCTGCTAATGGTGGTTTTTTTCAACAGACTGCTGCACGCTTGGAAGTAGTCAAATTCAACCTGAGTAGTAGGATCAAGGACTGCATTTCAACATGCACACAAAATGTGGAGAACTGGATCATGAATAACAGTTCTTGGCTTAATTTTCTGCGGAACACAGGGAGCAGAAGAACATGAATTCTAGATTGGTCCTTTCGTGTGCACAACCATAACAAAGATATATATGCAGGGGCTATGCATTTGATCTCATGGCTTGGTTCCCTAGCCTCTCACAGAAGATTCCAGAAGCCCTACACATCCTGGACATGTTGGCACAAGTGCACTGAGCCATCAGAGACTGAACTACTACCAAAGCGATAAGCCAGAAGTAGCTTCACATGAGACTGCTGCAATTCACCTCACTCAAAGTTCAAATGCGAGACAAATGGTTAGCTATCATGAATTAATCAGCTGTCAAAAGTACGTGGAAGGCATGTCTTTTATACGTTCTTATAGGTTTCCTCATTGTTCGACTCTAGCCTATTCAAATTTCAGTAGCATCTTTACCATTTACTGTTTTTCTTCCCTCAAGTTAATTGTTTGAAGATTAGGTTGATAACCAAGATCATTTTCAAATTCAACAAACATTTCATTACATGATAATGCCTACATAACATTTCATTTCATTACATTATACTGTTCAAGAGCAGAGAAAGTTGAGCATAAATTGCTCTTCACTACCATAAATCCACCACCACACTCACTGAAAAATCACAAGCAACCTTCTCAAACTAAAATGAGATACATAAGATATATATAGTACTTTCTTTGTACACACGTCTACTGCACCACCTAGACATGATCAACCTCTCCATTTGCATAACCAGACTCTTACGGCGCCACTCTTCCTAGAATTCTACTCTCAGGAGAACCTGGAAGCAATTGTTAGTTGCAGCGACATGGGGTGTGAAGCTTTAGAGGTGATCCTTTACTGCTGGCAGATACATATGTGAACACAAATGTTCTAAAAGAGGAAATTCAATCATATATAGGTTTGAAGTTCTTGTAAGCTATCACTGCATAAAAAGGATCTGAACCAGACAACAGTCCCAGCAACTTCATAATCCCACCAAAAGGCGATTTGTCCTCTTGAGCACCACCAGCAGATGGTAACTTCCGAATAATTTCTGGTTGCGCGAATCCTTCAACGCATTGGAAGTACTGCATGACCAGTTGTACTCGACTGTATGCAGTCCCATCTCTCCATGTACTAATGGCTTTTTCATAGAACATTCGGTTGCTGAAGCTAACAATGAATACACCACCAGGCCTTAGCACCCGAAACACCTCAGCAAATACCTGTAATAACAATAGTCAATTCTGAGCTTCATCTTATAATTTGATTTTACTTTGATATGATAGTGAAATGGAATTTATATAGGCATTCAGTGCTTAGAAGTTATACGTTGATTAACATAATTAAATTGGACTTCAATGACTATAAGTTGGAATGAAATAGAGGCCAATGTGAAGAGATTGAGGAGTACAAAAGGACTTGATTTTCTGGTCTCAATCAAGAGGCATCAGGAGAAATTTACATACCACAAAAGAAGAACACAGGATAAATCAAAGAGTGATTTCGTGAACTAGGCTGTGTGTACAAGAACAGCAATTTCGTGAACTCAACTGTGTCACAAGGAAACAAGAAATCCGACCATCTTCCCTTGGTTCAAAAAGGGGAGGTCGAGGGTTCAAGCCCCAAAATGAGAGCGTGTGTTGCTTGCTTACTCATACTTGCATTCGTCATGAAGAAAAAGCTCGGTAGCTTGCATAGAAACCATAAAATAGAAAGCCCAAGACCACTCTCTCTAGCAAGTTTTTTTTTATCTTTTCTTTTTAATCTATGAGCTCACTATTTGTATGACATAAAGATCTATGACATATGGGCATGGTACATCCAAATAAAATGAAGCTAGCTACCAAATTGATGTAGCACAATTGGACCAATAGTTACAAGTTAAATTCTCAAAAATGTAAAAGCACATCTCTGTATTTACTCTCTGCAAATTAAGGTAACCAAACCAACAAAGAGCGAGGTAGCTAAAATCAGTGATGCACAGCTTGAAACAGAAAAAGGAACTACAGATGTGAGATATTTGACATATATGCCACCTACCAGATATAAGCCCAATGATTATATTTTGGATTGTGAAGTAGGAAGTCCACCACAGGCTCAAGTGGTATGTCCTCATCTTCGGAGAAGGTTGAGGGTTCAAGTCCTTTAAACCGCGTCATAGTGAATGTGTGCACTGAGTTGGGTGCGTGTGTTCTTACTTACACAGAGACCATAAAAAATAAATTTTGATCAAAGTGAAGGAATAAATGAATCTGGATCCCCTACTGTCGAGGGGCATCCCGTGTAGCTTCCTGTATTACTAGTACAATGCACTAAATCATACTGCAACAGCCTCGTGACACAGTGTAACACCATGAAATAACAGAGTGTAACACCATGAAATAACGATGTAACATAATCAATGTAAAGTTGTTGCATATACAAGATATTAGCTATTTCTATCATAAATTGGAAGGGTCAAGGCTGCATATCAATTTTGTTGAATACACACATACAGAGACAATCCAACTGACCTTTTCAGGCTGTTGAAGGTACTGAACACTAACTGTGCACAAAACAGCATCAAAACTGCAACTCTCACATTCAAGCTTTTGATCCAGATTGAGATCCTTGACAAAGAAATAGTCCAGCCTCGGGTTCTTCGCGAGCTCCTGAGCATTGAGTCCATGCCCCACCACTCTCTTGTACTTGACCTCTTTAGGTAAATGGCTAACCCATGAGCTCATAAGATCAAGAATCTCCATATTAGGTTGTAACAATTCTCTGTAAAGGTTGGTCAATGAGGAGATGAAGTTGTCATCCACATGGGTCACAAAACGCGGGTAGGCATAGAATTGTCTGTCAGGGTAGGCGTCAAGTTTGGTTCTGCCTTGTTGGGTGAGAACCAAGCGTTTGATTTTGCCTGCTGAGGTCTCTTCTGTTTGGTTGTTTTCATGGAAGGTGTTTGATATTTTTGTAGTTGAAGGGAGGCTTTTGGTTTTGAATGGGAATGAAGGGGAGGTTTCTAGGTTGGTTGGAGAAATTGGGTGCCATAGCTTGAGGTTTGAATGAATGGTGAGCATGGGTCCTTGATTAATGAAGTTTTTGAAAGGAAAATGTCACACACACATATACACACACATAGACACACAAGTATGTATGGTGATAGATAAGTAATTAGTGGTTCTTAGAGGGCCAGGCTTTTTCTTGTCTCAGTGGTAAATGAACAAGCAGTGCATAAATGACTTAGGGCCTGTTTGTCGACCCATTTAATTTCGTGTCATGGGTGGTGTACAGTAGTAGAGTATAAATTATTATAAACCTTATGATTGAAACTATTTTCCTTTGAGTCGGAAAGATTAGACCGATTTGTTATGCAGAAGGCACAAAAAAATTAATTAATATGGTAATCAAATGGTCCCACTAACCTGTCTATTAAAACAATATAAATTTTCAAAGATAAAATTACCCTTATATTACCTTCTTGTATTCATCCTCCATTTTTTAGATCACTTAATTAAAATCATCGTTTAAAAAATAATTATAAATAAAAATTCCATAAATTTCTTTTATAAATTTCATTAGAACACTATGTCTCTCTAGATAAATGTATAATAATATATAAATTTTTTTAAAAAAATCATTAGAATATATATATATATATATATATATATATATATATATATATATATATATAGATTCTTAAGCATACATGTATTCAATCTCCATAATTTTGTTTTTAAAATTTTATCAAAACACTCCCCTTTGTTAGCAAACCAATACCAATTAGTATTAAAACTTTTAATACTAATTGGTACTAATTTCCTAACACCCTCTCCTTTATATATATATATATATATATATATATGTTTAAGAATATGCAAAATTTTGCAAAACATAAAAATAAATAAATTTTTTTTAAAATTTTCACAATAACTCTAAAAAAAAATGAAAAAATACAAAACAAAAAGTGGAGTGTTGTCTGTATGGCTACATGAAAAAAAAAAACAGAAAGAAAAGTAGTGATGTCGGAGATAACATGAAAGAAAAAGTACGGTGGTATTTGTGTATCATGATCGGGAATCAATAATTGTAATAGAGAAAAGTGTAAGAAAAGAAAATAAAGAATGATTTATCTGTGAAATAGAGATGGATAAGGAGGGATATTAATATAAAAAACTATATAAAATATTGGCATATTTGTCTGTGTTAGATTGGGATTTTGATAAGCCTGAATATTTTAGGAGTAGTAAACAATTTGATAAGCTTGAATATAAAATTCTAGCAGAGAATTATACAAATTCGGAAAGCTGAGACAATTTTGTATAACGTGTCGGTCTTTAAATACGTCAGAGTGTATGACTTTAGCGTTACTCTCTTTCTCTCTCTAACTTTTGGACTAACAAGTTGCTGCTACATCGAAGCGTGGCGTTTCAACCTCTTTCAGGCCACACCACCGGAGAGAGAGCTATCGACGACGTCGTAACGGGAATGTCTTACGACTATCTGTTCAAGTACATAATCATCGGAGACACAGGTACGACCTTACCTTACTCGTCTGCCTTTCATCAAACCCTAATTTTTATAATCTTATATATATATGTATATATAGATGTGTGTATATCCATGTATTTGACTTTTAGGGTTCGCTTGGGACTTGACAGGTGTGGGAAAATCCTGTCTTTTGTTGCAATTCACCGACAAGAGATTTCAACCAGTTCATGATCTCACAATTGGAGTAGAGTTTGGTGCTCGCATGGTCACCATCGATGGCAGACCTATTAAGCTCCAGATTTGGGACACTGTATTTACTTCTTCTCCGATATATATATTTATACTTTCAATTTTACCTTTTTTAATTTTATTGTCACATCCATAAAGTTTTAATTGAAATTATATAGTAAGATCTAAAAAACCAAGACTAATACATGGGTTTCAGCTCCAGCCTAATCTGTTTTTTTCAAACAAAAATTTGAAAGTAGGAAAATAAGTGCTTTTGGAGCTCCAAGTTTCCAACTTAATTTTGCCAAATTTGTTGCCAATACACATGCTATAATTAACATACAGAGATTTTTGGGCTTCTTATTGATTCACTTCTTGATCATTCATTTAGATTGTAGCTCCTAAATTTTTGATGAGGCCTGAATTTTAATGTTAAGAGTATATCAATGTGTTCTAAATCAAGAACTTGGGGTTTGTTTCAGGCGGGACAGGAGTCCTTCAGATCAATCACCAGATCGTATTACAGAGGAGCAGCAGGGGCACTTCTGGTTTATGATATAACCAGGTAGGCGCATATTTTCGTCTGTAAGTGTCCACATGCATTTGTTCATTTTCTTATTGAAATGTATCTTACTTGAAGTGATCTCGGACTTTTGATATGATCCAAACCATGCAATTTAGAATCTTCAACTTTGGACCTCTCTCCATGAGTGTTCGGAAACACTCTTTATTGGAGAATAGTACATGGACAGACTAACTCCAACACAAGCATAATGCACACAGCATGCACACCCGCTCAAACACAAATATAAGTTAGTTATTGATCTAAGAGGATAGAGATATTAGAACATTGTTCCTGCACAGCGATAATATAAGAATGTGTTTGCCACATCTTCTGTTAAATAGTGAAGTATTAGGATTGTACAAGTCAATGATGTATGGTTATGCTTCCAAAAATTGTCCGGCATTATTAATAGAGTTGGTCTGACATTCTTATCGTAGATCTTTGTGTTGCATGAGCTTATTTAGAGTTTATGAGTGCCAGCTCTTCGTTCTATTCACTCGGGATCAATCCTCATACAGCTCCATATCTTTATCATCTGGAGTGCTTGCTTAGGTCGATTCGTGAACCTTTTATTGTCCTAGACATGAGCGCATGTGCTCATGTGCCAATTGGGCTCTCGCACAATAATAACTTTTACTCTCCGCTAGGATTTCTGTGTGTACAACTTGGGAGTTTCTGACCTAAACCGCGAAGATGTTTTCTTGACTAGGAGGGAGACTTTTAATCATCTAGCGAGCTGGCTTGAAGATGCTCGGCAGCATGCAAACCCCAACATGACGATCATGCTTGTAGGTAACAAGTCTGATCTTGCCCACCGGAGGGCTGTCAGCAAAGAGGAGGGCGAACAATTTGCAAAGGAAAACGGGCTTCTATTCTTGGAGGCTTCTGCTAGAACTGCCCAAAATGTTGAGGAGGTGATATAACTCAACCTGTCTGACCAAGCTTTCATTTCATTTACTTGCATCAACGGTTTGAAAGCCTCGTTTTGAGGTTAACCCAAATTTTATGCTTAAACTAATATAATTATATCTTACAGGCCTTTACAAGGACTGCTGCAAAAATACTTCAGAAGATCCAAGAAGGGGTATTTGATGTATCAAATGAGGTGAGGTGCTAATTCATTGCACTTAAGGGGTCCCATATGTTATGGAAGCACAAATTAGAGATCTATTTATTCTCACTTATTCTCATCATACTGGCATTGTTCCAAACCTGCATGTCATGAACACAAGTCCGTATATTAGACTGTATGTGTGTGCATAGTGTCATTACAAGAAGCACATTGCCCTCATCTTCTATGCTAAAATTGATTAATCCAAATGATTATATGATTTATTCTCCGTATTGAATAAGAGTAATGATTTAGAGTCCGAAAGTCGGACAGATGATGATGTTATAATGACATAATCATATTTAATGACATCATGATGGTGTCATCCCCCATTCACATAAAACAGTTGGCTACATCAAACTTTCGGACTACTTATCATCATTCATTATATATTAGATGGTTAGGGCTGTTCTGTGAGGTTTGTGGCTTCCATCTCTGTGAAACCAATTTTTTTCCTTGCATTCATATCGTAGAGATTTATATGTTACGATAACCATTTTTTTTTTAAATGATAATTGCAGTCCTCTGGCATCAAAGTTGGATATGGCCGCCCCCAAGGTCCATCAGGTGCAAGAGATGGTACTGTTGCTCAGAGTGGTGGATGTTGCAACTGATATTATTATAGACAGCACTAAATTATGTATTACATCTATCTGTGAATTCTCTCTCTTGATTTGCCCATCGCCATCAATGAAATTAGTCTTTCAACTATTATAAAACTTAAATATACATAACAAATTTCAGTTAATTCAGTTATATATTGTGATATATTTGGAAAAATGAATTTTACACCATAACCAAATCAATTAAACATTTTTGCCCATTCATTAAAATGGGATCTACCGTTTAGGTTTGAGTAAGGCAATCAAAGACGAGCTTCTTTTAAATTGTTGGATGGAGAGATTTATTAGCAGATTTATTGATGTACCCTCTTCTCTCTTTTATTATATTAGTTAAAAATAACCAATCACAGCACGTAGGTCAAAACAATTTATTTGAGAGCGCGGCCCAAATATCTGCTCTGCAAGGTACAAGGCAATTAAAACACCATTTCACAATGAGAGTTTGATTGACTAAATGCAAAACCTAATTCATCATCATCTAACAACGTAAAAAATGTCCATACAACTTTGCTACTAACAAAATTTTCAGTAGCATCAAATACAATTGTCGGTAACATCAAATACAACCGTTGTTGAGTTCATAAATATTCCCCCGGTACCTAAAGGAAGAAAAAACCCACGATAATATCCCGACTTTTACCGTCGTGCGCGTAGATTGTCTAACGTTCGAGAAACTAATAAAACTCGTGGATCATCTTGAGGTACCTCACGTTCCTGAATTTCAAAAAAATTTAAAATCATGTGAAAGAAAAGTATACACAAATAATTCAATAATAAAGATGTCAGACATGAAGGCATGTTTTCAGAAGATACTGATTTCAAGCATTTGAATATACTGGCAAGACTGGAGACTATAATTGGATGAATCACATGCTTCATAAACACTAACAAACAAATTTTCTTCCAATCAATTCATATCAAAATGACATGGATTATGCTGCTCAACACATCTAAAAAAAAAAATCTAATCCATTCTGATGGAAAAAAGTTAAAAGAGTTTCGATTGGTGGGGAGGAGAAAAAGATTTCCTTGTATATGGGCCATTGTCTATGGTTGGTACTGCAGAAATTAAGTTCCACCACTTCGAAATAAAATTTCATAGACAAGTTACCAATGTGTTGCTTGTGGCCAGATCAGTATCTCATTGCTTTATTCTTTTGTTCAACGGTCATCGTTGGTATAATGTTTAAACTTTATTCTAAATCCTTGTTCAGCATCTATTGAAGACTCATGACTTCCTAATATACATCAAAGAAAGTTGATTCCCACCAACCTCATTTATCTTATAAACTACTTTCTTAAATAAGTTTTCAGCTTTTGTTTAACTCACTCTTTTTCCTAATAAACATGAAAGAAAGTTGAGGTCCAGCTGTCACGTGATATCTTAGAAACGCCTTTCAACTTCATTTCAAATTCTCATTCAGCCTCTATTTAACACTCATAATTTCCTAATAAACATTAAGAAAGTTGAAGTTGACCTGCCAAAATACTAGTAAAAAAATAAAATAAAAAATTGGCCTGCCAAATATCATTTCAGAAACCTCTATGGAAGCATGCATTTGAAATTTTGAATTGAAAACTTCAATATAAATGCTAAAGAGATTACGATGAAATTAGGGTACACTTAGCAAAGCAGACTCACTTTTAAGCCATTGAGATATGCTTCAACTGCTGGTAACGAAAGGAAAATATTACGAGCTTGCATCAGGTCCCATATCATGTTGGCAACAGTATATCCACCAGTCTGCAAATAGGTATGGAAATCTTTGACAGACCAAAATACTAGAGAGAAACATGGATAAAAAATACATAAATCTAGGACTAATTGATGCACTTTTTCTCTCAGCCAATGGTCTGTAGAGAAAATATTCGCTTACCTTTTCACCTGAGGCCACAAGGAGGAGATCATTTCCCATTTTCGGGCTCAAGAAGAAATTCCTAGAGTTCATATTTACCTGGATAAGCAGAGGGATATAGTATCATGTGAGAAAGATCAAGACAATAATCGAAATATCAAGCAGCCAAATCCAAAGCAACAGCAGAAGCACAAATATACCAGAGTTTCTTCAGCAATTTGCATTCCCTTGGGAGTATACCCAGCCATGGCTCCCTCTATAAGTGTCTACAACCACACAAGTTTTGAAGCCCATACAATAAACAAAGTCATTGCACATTAGAACTTTCAATAGCAAATGTGTCCTATCTACTAACAAAATAATAAAATAAGCAAAATATAGAGTTCAACAAGAATGCATACAACTCCCCGTATACATTTTAAGGAAGTTACTAAAAAGTTTGTTTTTAGGGGCTGGAGGAAATGGCCACCTTGGATTGGTGATGATTCTCCAAAAACCAAGGATTAAATATTTTACACAACAAAGTACCACAGAAAGAAAAGGTGGGTTTAAGATTTTATCAAACAGAAATCTTTCGAGATAATTGTTCAGTAATCCCGAAAATAAGAACTGGTCCTTGTAGCTTTGAGTGTCTGATAAATGCAATTTCGACATTAAATTAATATGTCAAGTCATTATTTTGTGTTGTAGAGGTGCACTAAATCCTTAAAACTTTCCCAAACGCATCATAAATGACCATCCTTCAAATTGCAGTTATAAAATAAACCTTCAGTGATGAAGAGAAATTTATGGGCCCAAAAGATAAAATACCCAAAATAAAACTCACCACATATAGTTCCACCATAGGTGGTTTCCTTGAATTCATGTACTCTTCAAAAGTTTTATAACCGCGATCAATGTCTCCAGAATGTAGATAACACCTGCAAAATATGGTAGTTAAACAGTGAAAGTTCATTTAAGAACATTTACAATTAACTGACCAGTTTAAGATCTGGAAAATATATAAGAGCAGACTCTTAACGTTTTTCCTTTTCTGTCAAAACCTTTCCATGAGTCACTAATTAAGAAAATAGCTTCTATTCTTGATCTCTGACATGAAAAAAAAAACCAATTGTCTTATAAACTAGCACAATCTCTTTAGTATATTTGGACATATATAATTGCATCAACTCATAATGGTTTGACATCTCAATATTTGATGATTCTTTCTTTTTTTCTTTTTTCAATTTCTTTTTGTATGTCTAATTGGTGCATAGTAGCAGTTAAAAGTTAAAACTTCCTAGTGTTGGTCCCACAACTTTGAGGTGTTGGTAGGGGTTATGCTTGGTGCAACTATAAACCAGGGACACAACATCACTCATGCATGATACAGCCATACATTTATAAAGTATCAGATTAAGATATTATCATGTCATATGGCTTTGTTTTTACATTCATTTTCCAGGTACCATTAAGAGAGCATATAGCACGTAATGAACCAGATTAGCTGACCAAGAATCACATAGTACGCACGCAAATATGAATGTACTGTATGTATGAGTGTGCATAGCTTGCAAAAACAGTATGTCAACATACAAAAATGATCATCAACAATCAGGTACCTCATAGTTTGCATCACAATAAAGACATCAGGAGTTCTACCATCCTTTTTGAGCATCTCCAAAAGTGTTTCCATTGCCTATCATAATGAAAAAAATCAGAAGTAAACACGAAATTTGTGGCAAAGATTTAAAAATGATGGCAATCAATTATTTGATTGATCACATTAAAAATGACTAAACATGAAAAGTGAGGGCAGAACACACACACACACACGCACATATTTTAAGTAGGGCAGAATATTAAATTTATAGGTAAGGAAGTTCCATTTCCTTCATCAAAGGTTAAAAACATTAATATTTTGCACCTTCAACAAATTCATTAGATGTGGTTTTCCACATCCATTTGCCTCAGGCATATATAGTGCTATATTGGGAAAGGTACAGCGGCAATGATCTTGCAGAGTTACCTTTCAAGGCCTAAAATTAGTTTGCTCGAAGGCCTTAGGAAACTCATCCTAAAGTCAAACTAGGAAGAAAACAAGAAGTTAAAAGTATAGTGGACTGCAATTTTTTCCACCCATATCTGATCAAAATTTTTTTTTTTGATCAGTCATACCTGATCAAACATTAGTCATGCAGCCACATGTTCTCCAAAGAACAGGAATGCATCCTTCATCATGCCTATAGACAAAGCAACAGCAGTGCAGAATGGATGGCTAATTTTAGTTTGTCTCAACAATTTAGGTTTCATGTTGATTTTGTTCCTTCCCTAGACCTTGGACCCTTGTTTGGAGTTACAAGTTTACAACTCCTATTTCAGGGGCTATTATGCACCATACCGTAATTTTATTGTTTGGTATAAGCTTCCATGTAACCAAAAGAAAAGTAAAAAAAAGAAAAGAAAAGATCAAAACAGAGTATACAGCAGAAACACACAAGGACATTAGCAAATTATAGCTATAGCTTTGCTGACGTTTGGGTTATCAATCGATCTCTACACTTGGTGACAAACCAATTTTAAAGAGGTAAATCTCTAAAGAGCCCCAAGAGGGGGTGCAAGTGCACCCATGTATACGCAGGTACATAAGACATTAGTACGACAAATCCAACTTAGTTATTGAAAATGCATGTGGATGCCACTGTTCAACTCAACAGCAAAAGAAAAAAATTGCTCCTAACTAAACAAATAATTGGACACACACACACACACACACTATATATATATATATATATATGCAGATTTTTTCTTATACGAGCAGAGGACATTCATTGCCAGATTGATGATAACAATGCAATCCATCTCACTATCTTTTTTTTTTTTCTTTTTTGTTGGTAAGTACAATCTATCTCACATTCTCAGTTCTCAAAAAAAACACAACATGTTATCTATCTCACTACAGGCAGAGCAAATGATATCATGATATCAGGGGAAGCAGAATGTACCAACAATCGAAAAGGGATGTGGATTAATAGAGGTTAATCAGAATTTCATATGAATTCCCAATTAAAAGGCATAAAATTAAATATTTGAGAAGATACCTCTACATTTCTAAGGTCAGCACACGCTTGAATTGCAACATGATATACAGTTAACTCCCTAGCCAGGAATCCGCCACGCCTATGCATATATTCAGCAGTGGGGATATTATATAACTCCTCTTCAGAAATACCCATCATAACATTTTCAGCATTATCTCTTGATGCTTCAACTGGTGACCACCCCTTGGACTGCTCAACAAGCTCAATTATCTTTTTCAAGAAAAAGAAAATCAAGAATACTTTAGAAACTTAAAGAATAAAAAGTTAACAGAAGCAATGTTTAAATACTGGACAAACCAGTTGGAACGAGATAAAGGCAAGGATGGTGATTGTTTAAATACTTGACACTTACTTTGGCAGCCGTATCATCGGTAATAGGTATCTTATTCTTATGTGCAGTTATAAGCCCCGCATAGCAAAATTTGTTTAAACCAAGACCAGCAGCAGTCATATCACGAACAATAGCATACCTATAAAATTGAAGGGAGGTTATTCCAGCTATTATTTAATATGAGAATGAATATAGCCAGGTTCAAAGTCAAACTAAAGAAGGGAGAAACTTGAAGGAGAGGTTAATAGGCTTCATTCACTCAGGCGGTCATAAGCCCATAAAATAAAAGCCTATGCACCTTGTGCTCCTCTTCAGAATGTAAACCTTTATAAAAAAACGAGTCTCTTCAAAGTCACTTGTGGAAAAATATCCGACATAGTGACAGTAGGAGGCAGTAATATCTTTAAAAAGGAAGGATTTATTCATAGCAACCAATCTCAAACCAAATCATCAAAATATGTTCCTCTTCCTCAAGAGGCCAGACAAACAATTGAATACATGGACCATCAGGTCCTCAAGTTCACAAATCAGAAGGTAATAACAATAACAAAAAAGAAGGCAAAGTAAGGACATGATTATAAAGCATACACTCGATCTAATCGGCCACTGGCTGCACATGCATTAAGTAGACAGATATAAGTTTGTCCAGTAGGTTTGATTCCATATATCTTCATTTCTTCATAAATCTTCAATTCAAAGAGAAAACGGAAAGTAAGAATAATGATTATTCCTTTATTGAGCAAAAATGGCATCACTAAATATAGCGATATATAGATAGCTCTAATGAAATAATGCAGAAACATACCCTGACTGCCTGGTCAGAAATCTTGCATTTCCCGCAGGTTGAGATCAAGAAGTTATATAAAGCAACCTATAAAGTAGATAAGTAATGCATCACAGTCACAAGACTTGCTAAAGCGGCTAATTCAAATAAAAAGACCCAGCTGTGTTACTTAAATTAAAGATATATATGAGCAATTGAAAACAACAGTAATGAATAAAGACTAGAATATATTATATATGCAATTGACTACATTTGAGAGTAACAATTTGGATTTCTTGTTCACATTAGAGGTAAAATTAGATAACTGTCTCACTTGAATTGGAAGATAAGGGAAGGGAGTATGCTTTTACAAAGGAATGGGAGATTCATCGTCACCAGAACTGGGATTTGCATTCGATTACATTCCTCTCCTTTTTCTCCCTTTTTATCTTTTTCTTGAGCAAGGGTTAAAAACAATTATCATGAAAAACTGGCTCGTGTGACACCCAATTAAATATGAGAGCCAAATCACAATAATTCTAGATTCATATTTCTGACATAGCTTCCATAATGCAAATTTATATTTAAACAAAACTAACCTAAAATTAGAAAAAACACTACATATGAATTTCTAGTATCTAATAATTGGGTGAAAGAAATGCTAGTTTTGTCACACAAAAATTAACCATAGCCAAAGCAGGATCATGTAGCTAACTCCAAAGAGTAGAGAAACAAAACGTTGTCAAGTTTGGTCAATATCCTATAAAACCCAAACGACAGAAACAAATACAACAGAAGATTGTGCACTAGTTGAAATCAAATACAATTATACCTATCGACAACAAGAGTGAAAAGATAACACCTCCTCCTTGACAAGAACTTGTCTCAAGCATGTATTTATTATTTTTTTTTTTACACTGTCTCAAGCATGTATGCAATGTTTCAAATAAACATATAAAATGACATTGTACATTACATCAGGAAGCAAACCCATGGTTCTCATTTCGTCTCGGAAGAAGAACGCGTCCTGCAAGCGAGCCCCTCTCATCGTCCCAGCAATGAGCGAATGGAAGGTATCTCGCTCTGGTTTAACCCCATCCAGCATCATATCATCATACACATCCCTCAACAAAAAATACCTGTATATATATATGGATTAATATGAATTTATATATATGTATATACACAGATATATATATATGAGAATAGTATTGAGAAACTGGAGAGACCTTCGTTGAGAAGTGAGGGAGTTAATGACGGTGTTGTACTCTGAATCATTGTTAGCGTAGTTCCTCTTGGCATACTCTTCTGTTGAAGCGGCAAAGTATCGACGTCCTAGGGCTCGAACCAGTGATCGGTGGTGTCCTCCTGAAGAGAGAAAAGAGGGGAAACAAGATCAGATTGTGATTATAGAGGGTCTGTTTGGAGAGAGAGCTTTCTCTCTCTAGATTCCATACCAGAGATCGTCTGAAGGAGCTTCATGGTTGATTGATTTCTGGGTGAGGGAGAGAATCAGCGGGAATCGAACCCTTCGACCTGACTTGTCCTCATTTCAGTTCTTGGGACTGCGCATAAACCCTGGGTTTGGGGGAAATGAGAAGATCGACACGTGCCTTAAATTTTGTACACTGAGTTAGGAACTATATAGACTATATGTCAAATTTTAGGATTGGATATTGGTAGTCCCACTAAAAATAAGTAATTTCTTTTTTTCGTGCGACAGATAGAATTAATTGATGACACAAAATATTAAAATTGTATTAAAGTATTTTTTAAAATTTTCATAATTTTTTTTCAATTAATAAAAACAATAATAAGCCACTTTTTCAATTCTATGTAAAATTCTTACAAATGCTTGTAGAGATTGACTTCAATATGCATATCATCAAACTACGAATACAAAAAAATTAATTTATTTTAAGAACTAACATAATTATAATAAAATATAAGATATATCAATCCTAAAAAATAGTGAAAGATTCAATTGAATACCTATCAAATCTCATATTCCATATGAACCAAAGTGAGTGTTGTGTATTAGTGAGTTTCTTGCTGCTAAAAAAACATATATTATTATTATTATTATTATTATTATTATTATTTAAAGCGGGACTTAATTTTGGGATTAAGTTGATATGTCGTTAATCAATTTATGATATTATATAAATAAAAGTATTTTATTTTGGTAGATTATATTACTACCTGTCTGACGCTGTTAAAATTTTCTCAAACAGACCTGCCTATCTCTAAAGCCAATGGGTTCTGAGGAACAGGTCCTCCAATTTTGATTGGGCCTCTCGGCCCACATGGCTTTCTAAAGCGGACTAAGATCCTCTGCTGACGAGTCATGTGCCGTAGTGCAAACAAATGTAATGATGTCAATCACCCCTAAAAATAAAAAAGCTATAATGACATAGATCTTACATAAATATTAGCTAACGTCAAAAATTTACTAGCCGGATTAAAATGTGTTGAACAAGATTAAGAGATGAATTAAGCAAAATAATTATAAATATATTTAAATTTTGTTCTCAATGTCTTAAATCAATTGGATAAACTTTTTAATCTTGTTCGACATGAATCCACTTTAAATACATTAAAATTTTGTCCTCAATACCTTAAATCAATTTGGATACACATTTCAATTTTATTTTCAACACTTTTAAGCTTAACCTAAACACATTTTAATCTTGTTTTCAACACCATTAACCTTTAATTCAACTACATTTAATATTGTTCTCAATGCCTTTAATATTGTTTTCAACACCATTAATTTTTTAATCTTTTTCTCAACATCATTAATCTTTACCTCAACGTTTTTTAATTTTTACCTCAACGGAACTTAATCTTGTTCTAAACACCATTAATCTTCACTATTAATTTTTTATAATTTATTGCATTATAATATTTGGAAATTGAGCATTAAAGCACGAACAGAACAAATTTTAAATTTTTATTTGAATGACAAGCCATTTGGTCTAGGTTGTCAAGTAATATAATGGGTAAATTGCACTAATGTTCTTTAAATTTGGATAAATTAAATACAGACTATCTAAAATTTATTACTTTGACATTCTTTAAATTCATTCATTGGCATACATGAAATTAACTTTAAAATGTAAAAGTTAATAATACCTTTATATTTTGTATTTTATACGGGGAGGTCTCAACAACAAAAAGGCTGACCAAGGGGTCTTGGCATTTCAAATGTGGAGGCCCTTGACGCCTGTTAAGGCATCATTGATACTACTAATGAATACCCAACTTTTAGAGGAAAAAAAAACATATATATATATATATATATATATATATATATATATATATATATATATATGAATGGCCCAAGGATTCACAAAATGACACCCATTCAAATCTCAAACTTCCCTAGTGTCTGTCTGTCTGTCTGTTTTTTTTTTTTTTTTTTTTTAAACATATTTATATGCTAATCACTGGAAATAGAGCCAATGGAATTCTTTCAATAATGATGTAAACATGACAAAATTATATATAATTCGGACATTTTTTTTAAGGAGAGGGAAGAAAAAGTAGAAGAATAATAAGAGGCATCATCTAATAGGAGTGACACTCATATTTCTCTGGCTCTCTCTCTATATATATTTTTAATGAAAAATAAATAAATATGTGCCAGAGTCATGTTTTCCAGCTTTTTTTGGTTGCTATGATACAAATTTTATTGAACCATAATTAGGTCTTAATATCTTTGTTCAAAGTTCAAAATCTTAGGTTCTCTCAATGATTACCACATTAGTCAATAATAAATAAAAAACAATCTACAAGTTTTTTTTATAAATAAATTAAAATAAAATAAACAAGGAGAGCTCAAACACATATATATTATCCCTCAGACAGATATCGCATCCACACCTTGAACATGTATCAATCACTCCCTGATTGGATTTTTTATTTAGTTTTTCAAATTCAAGTAAGCTTTGAAGAGATAAAAAATAATAATATAAATAGTTTCCAAATTAAATTACATAAGCATTTGAAAAGGTGCAGTTGACTATAAACCCTCAATTTTTCTCCTATATTAATCAAAACAAAAATCAAACAAATCACGTGAGACTTCAAATTGAACACTAAAAATCACATAATCGAAGACAAATCAACCAGAAGAGAAAGTAATAACAGAAACCCTTAAATCGTGTGTCTAATACAAACAACGAAAAGATCTCACTAGTGATACAGTATTTGAGTTTGAGGAGGTTATTGAACTTATTAAGATACTCTTGATAAATAAATAAAAATAATAATAATAAAATTAAAATTAAAAATAAAAGACAACGAAGAAATCTCAAAAATCTGTCTATGAATCAGTCAACTCTTCTAATGTCCACCGTAATGGTAACTTGTTGATTTTGAAAATATTTTTTCCTTTTTGATGTACTTGTCAATATTTATTTTAGAATGAATTTTATGGAATACCATGTTGAGAATAACAGACTTCTGTGTATAAGGATGCGGGTTATCCTTAAATAAAAGGAGAAAAGTTTGTGATTCTGAGTAGGATAATAAAGGCACGTAGAATAAATATATTTGAATTAGAATCAAACTCTATATAAATAAATAGATCTCTCTAATTATAGAAAAATATTTAATTGAATTGAAAATAAAGAAAAGTTTAATTTTACTCAAATAGAAACTTTGCTGTATAAATGTGAAAAAAAATTGCAGTGTTTTGTTGTTGATACTACAAATTTTGATATGGTAAAGATAGTATATGAGAAAAAGTTAATGAATTAGAATTTTAAGAAAGTGAAAAAAAGGTTAATGAAAATTGTTTAAACTTTACACCTTTGTAGATAATTAAAGTCCCTCTTGCACAATGCAATTCATTAATTTTGGATTCTGCATTCTGTTAGCTTGTGTTGCTCTAGGTCTAAGCCCATCCATGGCTAAAGTAGTTCAGATGCTAACTAACAAGGATTGTGAATTTCGCACCCTAATTATCAACCTCCATTTTTGAATGCTCGCTTGATTCAGCCAACCTAATCTTATAGCATAAACAGTTTGGTATCAAAGGTATTGACAAAATTTGAAGTGTTGAGGCCCCCACCAAGTCTTCCAACATGCAAAGTTCATATCATCCATCAAGAAGTCAATAAATTCAATCAAATCCCCAAGTCCAAAACAGCAAATGTAAGCTTGACCGTATTGATTTTGCAGTTTACTACTATTTGCAGGTTTGGAAGTAAGAATTGTATGGAATCCCACAGCCATATAGATGATAAAAGCATACAAATTATGCAAAAATTTCAAGTCGGGTCTTGTCTCGCATTGGATCCTTAGAAGTTGGAACGTAGAGGCGTTGAGTTGTTGGTGTATTCCACCATATATAATGCCTTAAAACATTTCACATGTAATTTCAAGTACATACATAATACATTACACATGTAAGATACAGAGAGATCAAGTAGTACATCGGGACAAGAAAGAGAAGACTAGAAGTGACATTTCCTGCCACATGAAACATGGATTATCAAAGTTAATAAGTATACTATCACAACTCAATTACTTATAAGAAATAGACATTACAATTCACAATTAAAGCGGCTCATTATATCAAGTCAAGTCAGAAATTCAATGATCATAACAGTTTAAAGAACCAGTAAACAATTAATCTAAATCTAATCTAAATCTATTTAATACGGAGTATATATACATATATATATATACAAAAAGTCAATAAATTCAATCAAATCCCCAAGTCCAAAACAGCAAATGCAAGCTTGAACGTATTGATTTTGCAGTTTACTACTATTTGCAGGTTTGGAAGTAAGAATTGTATGGAATCCCACAGCCATATAGATGATAAAAGCATACAAATTATGCAAAAATTTCAAGTAGGGTCTTGTCTCGCATTGGATCCTTAGAGGTGTTGAGTCTGTTGGTGTATTCCACCATATATAATGCCTTAAAACATCTTTTCATCCATTTTTGAGCTTTAGCATAAACCACTCCAAGAGCTCAATCATCTTCTGTGGAGTAGAACCATCCACTCAGCTCGTTATCTCTAACCTTAGGATACAACACAATGCTGAGAGCTTTAGTGGAAAAAATTACAAAGAGATTCAACTTATTCAATCCATCCATCCTTGTATGTTCATATTAACAGCCTGTGCAGGAATTATCTTTGGTCAGGTAATCAGTCGTCTCAACAACAAAAAGGCTTAAGTCGATGTTTATAAGCCTAAAGAACAAGGGTTCTTGGCATTTCAAATGTTGAGCACCTCAACAAAGCCTCCATGTTAAGGCACCAATGGAAGATCATCATTGATTGCAAAGTCCGGTACATAAGTCAAGTGAAGCAAACATTCCAGACACCCCAAGAAGGTTAGTCCCAAACATTCCGGACACCTGAGCCTCATGGTAAAGAAAAAATTTCTATCGCACCAAATTCAAAGATTGGGATCATGTCTTATATTCCAAATTCATTCTTAATATATACTTCTTGCGTTTTCTACAAAACTATAAATCTAACAAGAAGGAAATATAGAAATTAGATAACCAAATAACAATACAAATGAATACCCAACTTTTAGAGGGAAAGAGAAATAAAAAATGAATGGCCCAAGGATTCACAAAATGATAGCCATTCATATCTCATACTCCTGAAGTGTCATTTTTTTTTTCCTTCCATTATAAGGATATATTTTTAACTTTTAAAAGTTGTGTATGCACGTACATATTTTTATGCTAATTACTGAAGAGAAGTCAAATGGAATCCTTTCCATAATAATGTAGACATGACAAAATTAATTTGCGGATACTCAATGAAATAGGCCACATGCCAACCTAATAAAAAAACTTTCTACTATATATAAATAAATATGCTAATAAATTACTTGAAGTTATGTAGAGCATACTTCAATTTCTTAGAATATTGTTTCTTGCATTACTTGAAGTTATGTAGAACATTAGGACTAGTATAAAAAGTCCACATAGCACAATTTATGGTGGCAGCTAGGTAGAAATGTGATTTATACGTGTCTATGTTTTGTTTAGTAAGGATTACAACAATAGTCCATCTGCAAAAAGAAATTCGTTACTAACATATGAAGCCATATATATATATATATATATAAGTACATACATAATACATAATACATTACACATGTAAGATACAGAGAGATAGAGCAGTACATCGGGACAAGAAAGATAAGACTGGTAGTGACATTCCCTGCCACATGAAACAAAGTTAATAAATACCACAATTTAATTACTTGTAAGAAATAGACATCACAATTCACAATTAATTGGGGAGAGTTCCAACAAAGCGACTCGTAATATCAAGTTAGAAATTCAATGATCACAACAGTTTAAAGAACTGTTACTAAAATAGTAAACATTGAATCTAAATGTATTTAATACGGAGTATATATACATGTATACAAAAATGCGATTATATGTACAATCTCATGTAATATTTGGCTCAAAATTGATTCTCTTATCTTTCTATGTCATAACTGAAAACGAACGCTGGCCTAAAACAAGCGTATCCATAAGTGCTTCAACTAAGGACTATAGGGGAAGCCAACTATGGCAAAAGCATGTTATAATGAATTCTAAGGCAACCCTTGATGAATAGGTAGACGATTCTGAAGCGGCATCTAAATTCAGTGATCATGGATATAATCTTTCTTTTTTCGCCTCAGACTTAAGGCTTTCAGAGCAAGAGTCAATGGAGCAGTTGAGACTTAACCATAGAGGGAAAATATTGACTTCATTAGAATTTCTTCAAGGTCAACACATTAACAAAGAATAAAAAAAGTTGCTAAGTTATAACACAGTAATTTGATTCTATTTTCACTCCCAAAATTATACTCTTTCCCACTAGCTACATAAACTCTTCCAATTTCATAAACTAATCCCAGTTAAAAGGCTTTTCCAAATGCAATGAAATAAATATGTACGTTAAGGCATCAATGGATAATGCTGTCAAGCCAGTACCATTGAGGACTGCTAGTTCATCCTCTCCTCTATCTCCCTTAATTACCTTTGCTCCTAACCTCACCCTTACCACAAGAGAAATGCATCTTCTGTGCTAGAACATCAATTATTGGAGAAAAAAAATGTAAAAATCTAGTAAAACTACCAATTTGTCTTTAAGTATTAAAATTAAATAAAGCAAAATGATTCCTAATTAAGTCCCCAACTAATATAAGATCCTATATCAAAAGCAACAGTAGGAAATCCAATTAAACACTTCAAGTTCCACGCTTCAGTTACACAAATATTAGAGATCTGATCAAACTATCTCAACTCCGGCCTCTATATCAGCTCAAAACACCCCCCCAAACTCACCAACTCTCCCTCTGCAACAACTCAGAATCCAACTATGCATAGACAACCCCAAAATCCAAAACTGGTCCAAACGACCACCCAGAACTAAGACACTTTGAGAAACATGATGTAGTTACATCAATAGTTGAAGCGTTCAAGAATGGTAATCTAATATCAAAATTCACCAACTTTGGAACGTTGACGTTTCAGAAGCAAGCTGTGCTAAAATCTAATAAAAGCACTGTAAGAGGAGCAGTACATCTTCTGTGCTAGAACATCAATTATTGGAGAAAAAAAAAATATAAGTATTATGGAGTTCATTAAAAACCTTTGATCATTATGGAGTTTTGGTGCAAGTTTCAAGGAATTTTGCTTTAGGGCCAAAACCTTTTAAGATGCTAAAATTGTGGTTTGTTAAGAATGATGTTTTACCTTTGATTCAACAAGCATGGGATATTGAGGTAGAGGGATCTCCAATGCACAGACTGTTGAGTAAGCTCAGGGATGTTAAAAAGGCTGTCAAGGAGTGGAATAAAAATGTCTTTGGAGATGTGGGAGATAAGGTTATGAAGTCTACACTGAGGTTAGAAATAGTTCAAGATAGCCGTCTCAAGGATCCATAAGATGTACTTCTAGATGACGAACAAAAGGCCAGAGAGGAATATGAAGCAGCTATTGCTGATGAAGAAATATTTGTGGCTCAGAAATTCAGGTTAAAATGGCTAAGGGATAATGACAGATGTACTGCTTACTTTTACCAAAAGTTGAAACAGCAAAGAAATTTCAATGCAATTACCAAAATGGAGAATGATGAAAGGGAGATTTCAGTGGATCCAAAGGTTATTTAATACTGAGTATAATACATATATACAAAAACGTGACTATATGTACAATATCCTGTTATATTTGATGAGAATTCCATCTTCTAAGGCAGAGGAGAGAGATGATCACATCACAGATCGATCAATAACATTTACAATTAGTAAACAGTTAATTAAACGTACATGTAATACCCCTAATTTTTTAAAAGGATAAAATTGGATAAACTTAGAATTTCAATAACTTTTATTACATTTTTTTTTATGTGACTAGTTATTTAAGTGTGTAATTGTTTTACTTTGTTAATTGATTTAATTGTAGTTATGTGTGTTTTGTTTGTTTAATGTTTAAATTGTTTTAAATTGAATATGTATTTATATATGTTTTTATTTGAATTAATGTTTAATTGTTTGTTTAATGTTTAAATTGTTTTAAATTGAATATGTATTTATATATGTTTTATTTGGATTAATGTTAATTGAATTATTTGTAAATTTAAGTTTTATTGATTAATGGAAGTTGGGTTTGGATAGTAGTGATGGACCAACCGTTTGGGTCTCATGAATTATTCGGATAAGAGGGGGATGGGTACAGTATTACCCATGGTAGTATATACATATATATTTGAGTATATCTGTATATAGGGTTAGTTTAATTGTTAGTATTTATTAATAATTAAACTGGTGTTATCAATCCTAATTTAATATGTATTATAGTTTTAGGGTTTTGTTTTATTCTCACGAGTTTTTCCGACTCCTTTCAGAATTTCAGAATTCTATTTAGGTTTTCCTTAAACCTCTATAAATACATCATTATATTTTCTTAGGGTTTTTGGAAAAATAAACACAAACCCTATTTTCAAACCCTATTCACGTACAGTGAAAATACAGAGAGTTGTATAGTGCAAACAGAGAGAGGGTTTGAGGAAAACAGAGTAACCTAGGTGAGGGTTTTGGTTGCGGTTTAGGGTTTGAACTTAGGGGAAGGGAAGGCTGAGCAGTAGAGGGTGGAGTTGACAGTACTCGGACATCGTTGGAAAGCTTAGGAGACGGCGACATGGTTTTGAATCCAAAACTGTAAAGGCAAGTTCTATCTTCCTCTTTCCCTTTGGGCCGTGTTCTGTGCACCTAGATGATCTCTAGGGAATAACTAATCAATGATTGAAACCTACATGTTTAATATATGCTTGGGTGATAGTCTGTTTGTTTTAAAATCCAATATATTTACAATTCGTGTATATTTGTTTCAGTATCCTATACGTTAAGTATATTGATTCTGTTGTAAATTTAGTCTCTGTATTTGATTGCAACTTTTGTAAACACAATATAGGAACACTACTGGGGTTATACAAAGCTTATAGGGATGCTATTATTCTATTTTAAATACGTGTTGCAATCCGTTCCGCTTCAATTTGCATATGGTTCCAGTATTCATACTAACAGCATGTTAAGTTGGGTAGCAAACTTAAGCTTTGTAATTGATTTAAATTGCTATAATCAAACCTTGGGGATGCTATCAGGAGGGTGTTAGATCCTTTAGATCAGTTTAAGAAACAAACAGAGGGGTAGGAATTGATCGGAGAAGGAGCAGATTGACGGAAACGGAGCAGAGATGAACTGGAGGCTCTCAAGAGGGAGAGAGCCGGCTCTAGAAAGTCAAGACCCGGCTCCCCTTCAGCAAGAGCCGGCTCCTAGGGAATTGGAGCCGGCTCCAATAGGGGAAGAGCCGGCTCTTCCATTCCAAGAGCCGGCTCCAATTTGTTTTATGTCCAGAAAGTGTTTTCTAGGGCTCTGTTTGGTGTTTTGAGCACTGTTTGAGCTTTTGAGTGATTCTAATGAACTGTAGGGACTTAACAGAGGATCTAAGTAGTTAATTCTAAGTGTTATTAAACTTATTGTTGGATAGTTTAAGTCTCTAAGATAAAGGATGTAGCAGTGTAAAAATATACAACGGTGTATGCTACTAACAGAAGAAAGGAACTAAATAGCTTGATTAAATTTTAGAAATTTAATGAGACTTCACGGAGGGATTAAATAGTTAATTTTTTGGTGTTATTAAGACCCTAAATTGATTTAAGGTTAATTCTAAATTAACGGATCAAAATGTATAACACTTATGTACATTGTATACGGTTAGTGGATAGATGAAGTTTTAAATACTTAAGCTTATTTTTAGGCATTCCAGTGGGATTTAATATATTTATAAAATGGTTTTAAATATATTATAGGGTCATTGATGTGTTAGATGTGATCTATGCAGGCTCTGGATATTAGTTGTTGATTTATTAAATCATCTCCTGCAACTATATGGTTTAATGCTTGAATTTAATTGCTGAACTTTAAATGTTTTCCTGCAATTACTTGGATATTGGTTTTGGGTTATATATATGTGGAATTTTAATTGCTGAGTTAATAGATTCTGTCAATTACATGGTTGTGGAGGATGGTATGAACCGGTATGGGACGGTGTCATACTAGGGATGGTTTAGCTCAAAACGCATAAACCTAACCTATTGAATTTAAGGGAAGGATTGTAAAATATTGAATCCTAAACCTTGTTTAGTCAGATCGACTGATTAAGTTGAAAGACTATCTGGATTAATTGTGTTTGTGTGTAGTCGGATCGACTGATTAAGTTGAATGACTACCTGGATTAAATGTTGGTTGTGTTTGAGTCAGATCGACTGATTAAGTTGAATGACTAAACTGGATTAAAATTCTTATGTCAATTCAATAAACAATAAAATAGCATACCTTGGGTTAGACGGACTTTATATATATGTTATGGCACCACGATATGGGCATGAGTCTCAGAGTCGTTGGTTAGGGAGCGTATATGCATTGGGATGCATAGCTGGATATGATGGTTGAGGTGTACCCTGTTAGGTCTAGGTATTCATGCCCACCTTTGGGTGCGTTTTCGCATGTTACCTTCTATTCAGGTTGAGACCCCTATTGTAGTTCAGTGAATGTCCCATAGTGTGGATATGTATATGTATAGACTAGATAGATATTGTGAGGTATCTACGGTGTATCTGCGTATCGGGTCACTGTATGGATTGCAGTTAGATTAGAACTTGCTCGTGGGCCTGACCCACTCTTCTATTATTCTTTACAGGTGTTCGTTAGTTCCAGGCTGCAGAGCTTGATCGTGCTGAGCAGATACAGTTGTTCACTCCACCAATGACATAGGAGTATATTTTGTGTGTAGACTTGGGTTTTGTTTCCCGTCTTTTAAGTTCAGTGGGTTATTTTAGGGGTCCACTAGATGGATTCCCGAGTTGTATGTGGAGGATCAGTTGTATCATAAAGGTTGTTTACTAATGAAATTTTATTTCGGGATTTCATTCAATGGATTATCATTTTAGTTTTCTATTCAGCAAATTTTATTTATTCTTATTTACTTTAAAATTGTACTTTGTGTTCGTTAATTGCTAATTTGTTTGATATCCTCGGGTAATCGGGCGTGGGCTTGGCCAACCCGCATCCGGAAATCTGGGGATGTCACAGTACATGAAAGGAACTAATTCACACATTAATAGAGAACTATCACTGAAATGGACTAAAACTTATAAACATTATACATATAAGAATAACTCGATTCATTCCATGCATATTATACACACATATAAACACATTAACAAAGAACATGACTGAAATGACTTCAATCCATCAGTTAATACGGAGTATATATTCATATATACAAAAACGGGACTATATGTAGAATCTCCTGTTATATTTTATAAGAATTCCATCTTCTTAGACAGATGAGAGAGACAGGATCACATCACAGATCGATATATAACATCTATAATTAGTAAACAGTTCAATCAAACGTACGTGAAAGGAATCGATTCACATAAATGATTACAGTTACAATGACTCACCTGCCAGCCAGAGAAGTATATTCCTCTAAAAATTAATTGACAAAGCTTAGACTATATGGAAAGGTACGCATATAAATGCAAGTATATCATGTCTACTGTAATCATACATTTTTTACAACACTTTACATTTTTCACGACACTAAATTTATGTCATAATTGATGTATTCAATATTAATAATGGAAAGGAATAAAAAGACCAAGTACTCACCCTAAGCACTTTATTCCCAAAGATCATAAAAGGGACTGAGTCCAGCTGGGGTTGATAATAAGTACCACTTTATTTGGGTGTACATCACAACTAGCATATAATACCCACATAGCACAATTAATGGCAGCAGCTAGATAGAAATGTGATTTATACATTTCACTGTTTTGTTTTGTAAAGATTGCGATAATGGTCCATCTGCAAAAAAAAAAAACAGTTTTAGTAACATATGCAGCCATATATATATATATATATATATATATAATACATTATACATATAAGATACAAAAAGATAGAGTATTACATCGGGACAAGAAAGAGAAGACTGGAAGTGACATTTCCTGCCACATAAAACATTGATTGTCAAAGTTATTCAGTATACTAGCACAACTAAAGACATCACAATTCACAATTAATGGAGAAGAGTTCCAACAAAACGACTCATTATAACAAGTCAGAAATTCAATGATCACAACAGTTTAAAGAACTGTTACTAAAATAGTAAACAATCACGAAGAGAAGAGAGAGAGGATCACATCACAGATCGATCAATAACATCTATAATTAGTAAACAGTTCAATCAAACGTACGTGAAATGAACTGATTCACACATGAACAGAGAACAATCACTGAAATGGACTAAAACTCATAAACATTATACATATAAGAATAACTCGATTCATTACATGTATATATGTATACACATATAAACATATTAACAGAGAACATAACTGAAATGACTTCAATCCATCAATTAATACGGAGTATATATTTATATATATATAAATGTGACTATATGTAGAATTTCCTGTTATATTTGATGAGAATTCCATCTTCTCAGGCACAGAAAAGAGAGGATCATATCACAAATCAATAACATCTATAATTACTAAACAGTTCAATCAAACGTAC